AGAGCTAGATTTCAGGCATGAGCAGGGTCAGCAGGAATCGCGTTTCCAAGATGAACTGTTTTTCGTACGAGCTTTTTAACCAGTTAGGTGTTCAACTTATTCACCTTGAAACTGCGCAGTTTGGCCAATAATTTTTTTAGACTTCGACTGGAGAGAGCAAACGTAGACGAGCGTTTTTTTCCACATGATAATACCTGTTTATCTACCTCATTAGGAGGAAATTCAAGATAACTGATGAGGGTTTAAACCCACGATTTTTGATTGGATGTCCTAGACTGAGCTACCGTGAAGAAAGTGGAACATTTTCCTCCTGCTTAATCCACCGTCAAGATGTGTAACAAATAAAGGGACGCCTCACTTCAATGAACTTCGCTGATGTTGACGCGTCAGTTCTGATGGCATTTTTTCTCGGTTGTAAACTACTTGTACCTTTCGCCGCGAAGCCTATTGACGCTTCATATACAAGTACAGCGTTTCGAATTTTTCGTATGTGACGCGTCAGTGTTTAGACAATGCAGCTGCAACAGATACATCTTCGGACGCTGACATGTCATCATCGTCATCCCCATTGGGTAAGAAATCGGGCAAAACGTCAGAAACGGCGGGGGGCGGGGTCGATGATTCGTTGTCGACCTTTGCGGAGACTAACGACGGTACATAGCCACTGTTAACTCATGTTCTTCGCTATTGTTGCAGTGTTTCGTTTTTGTTTCTTCTAGCGAAATGTTTCGATCGACTGAACGAAAACGAGAAACTTTCTCACCTGACCGCTTACAGACCTCGACTGGTCAATCGTCGACCGCCATCCAAAGTGCTGATCAGCGACGTAAGCTTCTTCACTGTACAATTTTTTTATAGATGTAACAGTGTCTGATGATTATAGATGAAGGAACACATTGCTGAAGATTCCACGCACCTGCCCCTGACCTTAGTTACGGCGAAAGGTACCTGATGTTTGAACATGATCTGAAATCTTCGAATCAGCATTTAAATTATACATCGCGTTTGGCTTTCGTTCAAGAGACCGTAGACTATGTCATTCTTTTGACTTGACGATTCTGTAGAGGAAGCTGGTTTAGCCAGTGGCCTACGGTTTTCTAAGCGAAAGCTATGGGAAGATGAAGGTGGAAAGTTAATACATTCTCTATGTATAAAGTTATCCGACTGCCTTCGCGACTTAAACTTGTTATTTGCTGGCAGGCGGTGAAGGACACCGAGAGAGTGCTACCAACGCCGTTAGTGACAGCTGTTTTGTTGTTCAGGCATGCTGGGACTCAGGCATGTCATTTTACTATATATGCCCATATAATGAATATAGAAACCGGCGGTTCCGATCTCCACTTTACTGAGGTACAACTCACTCGTATCTGCGGTTGTACGAGATTTTAGTTGTCAGTACCAAATGCTGGCCTGTTGTTTATTCGTAGGCGTAAGAAATACCGGTTCGAACGCTGACAGTGTAGACTGTGTTTTCATGCTCGTGGCATTGAACCTGCTTTTTCACACTCGTGAAGCTGTTAGAAAAGCGGCTCTTTTGATGGCTTCCTTAAATACATGAAAAACACTGCTCTAGCCGACAAAACGATGAACTGCACGTGTTAAAGTGCCTCTATGATCGCGATAAGCTCATGAGGTCCCCAAGGTATCAACGGCAAATCAGGTGTTGCTGTAAATTGTTAAAACAGCTTTATGCGTTTATACTTATATTTTCTTACCCCGTTATACTAACCCTGTTTTCTTGTGGGCAGAGCATGCATGGAGCATTGGCTCCTGAAATATATTGTATATCAAGGCAATGTATTACTTTAGCTGATGAGACGAATCGAGATGCATAATATACATCAGAGTGTTAAATACCATGTAACTGTGACCTGTTTACATATACTTGACATCTGAAAGCAAGGATTGGTGCCGTCTAAGTATGGCAGGGTGAGTTATGCACTTTATATCGTACTCTCGCGTACGAAGCTATGCGTTTAATGAACATACGGGCTCTTGAAGCATCACTGCTGACATCCAAGTTATTGCTCTAATCAATAAAACGACGCGACATTTCATTTTTCAGCGCAGAAGTTATAATACCAAGTAACCGTCGCCGGTTTATATAGTGCCTTAGGCATCTAGGAGCACGAAAAAGAAGCGACAACCAGTGTAAAATAGCGAAGTAGAATTATGCTGACTGGTTTATGTTCTAAACAAAGCGAAGGCCGTAGCAGTAAAAGTGTCTAACGATAAGTACTTATAGCACAAGTTCTACGTTTTCTTAACACTCGTAGTCATTTTGAGAGTAATTCGTTGTTTTCTTGGAAGGTAAGGGTTACATGGACGTCGTAACTGCATAAAATCCGATGAAATATTCGAATCGTTTATGTTCAT